GCCTCGGAAACCCTGTACAGGGTCACTATGAGTCGGAACCGACTCTACAGCACATAACAACAACAACATAGTCATGGATAGATTTGTTATTTTTCCCTTTCTTACTTCATTCTAAAGTATTTTGAGTGAAACAATTAGTACTTTTTAATTATTGTAAATAATACACACATGTCACCATGATTGAACTTTTCTGAATGATTCTGTCATGGATGTGATGGAATCCCAGTTGTCTTTTATGGCAGAGTGTGCTGGCTGCCCATCAGTATCCTTTGTTCACCTCTCACAAAGTATAACTGAGCATAAGACTACTCGGAGTAAAGACTGTATTTCTGTACTTTCTTGTTACTAAGAAGTGTCATGTAACCAGTACTGGCCAATCGGAGAAAAGGATATATGGGCAACTGTGAGATATGTTATTAAAGGAAAGAAGTGTGTCTCTTACTCCATCCCTCTGATTGGAACATGATCAGGATGGCAAATTGCAACAGTATATTTTGTGGGTTAGAGTAAGGATGGCAGTGCAACAAGGATTCTGGTTCCTGGATGACCTCAGGGAGCAGAAATTCCCTCGTGGCCTTTGGTTTTCTACCTCTTTGTAGATACTTTGTTATTGGATAGTTTGTAACTTTTCTTCTATTTTATGTCCTTAAACACGTAGAAATCCTTTTCTGCTTTCTCATCTTACTCTCAAATATACTCTTGAGGTTATGTTTTTGTGACCTTTCAAGTAATTTATATCTGGATATAAGTTTTCATTGTTTTTGTTAAGTGGTGTTGAGTTGGTTCTGGCTCATAGTGACTCTGTACAAGGTTTCCAAGAAGCAACTTGTGGGTATGATCTACTGACTTACTGACCTTGTGGTTTACAGTCCAGTACTTATCCTATAGCACCACACCAAGGGTCCAAGTTTTTATGATTAATCATTAAATAAAACAAAAATAATAGCGATGATCAAATCTTTTCTTGTACTGTGAATATTCTAAATAAATTGTTGTAAAAAATATTCCTGATTTATTAGGCACGCAGTGCCCCCTTTTGACCATTGTAACTCATAAGAGAAATACTAAAACAGTTGATTCCTTTGTCATCCTTACTAGGAATTGAATTTTATTTATATAATTGAGTCACATATAGTTTGAAAAGGAAAAGTGTTCTTTTACTTATGTGTGAAATATGTTTTCTAAATAAAATGCCCTGTGCTATCTTATGCATTTTTAAATGATTTTGTAAGACTGATGTTCCAGTTTTAAAAATTATTATTACACCCACTAGAGTGTTTAATGGCAGTTTTGTAAGACCCAAATTTTAGTTTTATGAATCTTCTTTATCCTATCTAATTCAGGTTGAATATGAAGGCTTAAAGCATGAAATTAAGAGATTCGAGGAGGAAACGGTACTGTTGAACAGCCAGCTGGAAGATGCTATCCGGTTAAAGGAGATCTCTGAGCACCAGCTGGAAGAAGCCCTTGAGACCCTAAAAAATGAAAGGGAGCAAAAGAACAATCTGCGGAAGGAGCTCTCCCAGTACATCCCCCTTAATGACAACCATCTCAGTATCTCAGTCGACGGACTCAAGTTTGCTGAAGATGGGAGTGAACCCAACAATGATGACAAAATGAATGGACACATCCATGGATCGCTTGTGAAACTGAATGGAGATTATCGGACTCCTACCTTAAGGAAAGGAGAGTCTCTGCACCCGGTCTCTGACTTATTCAGTGAGCTGAACATTTCAGAAATACAGAAACTGAAGCAGCAACTTATGCAGGTAAGAACTTTGTTTGGGGCTGTTAGAGTGAATTTCTTATAGGTTCCATGTAGTGTGTTGTGGGGATTCAACATTCTCTTGTTTTTTTAAATACTATTTCTTGAACTAGCTACTTTCAAAGTGTAATCATTGAAAAAGACACGATAGAAAAGATATTGAAGAGAAACAGCTCATTTGCATTGCTTAAGAAATGAATCTCTTAGAGACACAAATTAGATTGTAATCCAGTCCAAAAGGGAGAAAAGACAGTTTCTTGATGCTTTTCTGGCCAACAAAAGAATCCAAAAGCTTTATATTCAAGTGAAATGACAGAAAATGTACATTTCTATCACAAGCAACTGTGTGTATAGCTCCAAAATTAATACACCCATACCTCACTTAGCAGTGCGATTAGGTTCCAAGACAATTTGCTATGCAAAATCATTGTTATGTGAGGAGAAGGATGTTCCTCTGGCTTAGGACCCCAAGGCCCTGCCATTGGGGCTGGTGCTCAAGCGGACCTGGAATCCAGCAGCTGGACTAGAGGCACAGTTGGCAGCTCTAAAGCTTGGGCAACCTGTGGAGCCCAGGGTCATCCAGTTGGTGGGGGTTACTGCCCATGCTCATGTCCCTCGTAGCCACCCTTCCACGGCCCCAGCTGCCTGCTATGGCCTTGCAGGCCAGGACTATACAGAAATGAGTGACATACTGCTGGTCTTAGAAGCCAAGAGCCTGGAGACTAACTGCTTGGAAGAGGAGCTCAGCAGCCTGAGACACTGAGGAGGAGGGAGCTGCCAACTACTGCTGCACCCCCAGGTCCCATATTACCCCTAGTACCCTTCCAACTAAGGTACTCTGGTAGTGTAGTGGTTATGAATCGGGCTGCAAACTGCAAGGTCCGCAGTTCGAAACTACCAGCTGTTCCGCGGGAGAAAGATGAGGCTTTCTGCTCCCGTAAACGTTTACAGCCTCGGAAACCCTTTACAGCGAACCTGTACAGGGTCGCTGTGAGTCAGAACCAACTCCATGGCACATAACCTCCACCACCAACCACCCTTCCTACTAAGGATCCTCTGGTAGTGCAGTGGTTACATGTTGGGCTACTAATCTCAAGGTCAGCAGTTCAAAACTACCAGCTGTTCTGTGGGAGAAAGATGAGGCTTTCTGTTCCCATAAAAATTTACAGCCTCGGAAACCCTATGCAGGGTCACTATGAGTCGGAACCAACTCCACAGCACATAACCACCAACCAGCCTTCCCACTGCAGGACTTGGTCCCTCCAGGGTGCTTGAGTAGATGAGAGCAGTAATATCGCAGTATCCTTCCCCTCCTTCCTCTTGGGCCCCTCTGACCACTTTTGGGCACCTACTTGAAAGGTAATACAGTATATAACGTATACCATATATGGTTATATATTAGGAAGTCAGATGGCACCCAGTGAGCAAATATTAACTCTTCTTGAGTTAAATGTGTGAATATCCACATAAAGAAGGGAAAATAAGGACCATAAGAGGCTTCATATCACTGGCATGCAGTTCGCTGCCCAATAAGCTTAGGGGTGGCTAAATATTGCCACCACATGAGATATGATCAAGCCTTGGTGTAGAGTATTTTGGATTTTGAAATTGTGCTATTATGGGTGCAGCAATTGCCTTGCTTAGGGGCCACGCTCGATTTAGCATGCTTTCGATTATAGTATCATCACATTTTGGATATGACAGTTTTTATTTTCATAGTTTTCTTGACTCTTAGGATTTGGCCAGGATCCAAAACATTGCATCTGAGGGAGAGCTTTGTACCTCCAAATCCAACACCTGCCTTTAGTTAATGTTGACAGTTTATGAAGACAGGCAGAGCACCTTGTACCAGGGAATCAGGGCTTCAAACCGGTTCCCCATGGTTCAGTCATGCTTGCAAGACAACACCAGAATGGGCCCAAATTTTTAAAATATGGGTAAACTGGAATGCTTACCAGAATGGGAAAAATTACTGGTTGAAATCCTGCTAGAAACTTAATCTCCCTCTTAGAAAGGAAGGCCAGTGCGTACATTGTACAGCAGTCAAATCTCTCGCTCTCTCATTTTTTTTTTTTTTTTACTCTTTATTGTAAATTGGGTGAATGTCTACAGAGCAGATGATTTTTTTCCATTTAACAATTCATACACATTTTGTTTTATGTCATTGGTTGTCATCAATGTGACATCACTTATCCTACTTCCTCCCTGTTTCCCAACCCTTCTGAACTTTGTCCTTAGAAAAATTCACCATCTGAGATCAAAAGGGCAGCATTTGCCCAAAGACAAAGTAATCAAATATCCTGACCTGCTAGTCAAACATAACAGTGCCTTGCTCAAAGATGGTGGCCAACTGCACTACTTTGAATGTGTGTCATGCTTCCCAGGCCTGGCAGTAGTCCAGACTCATGCAATAGGCCTCTGAAAAAGCTCACTCTGTCTTCCAAGTCTCTCCTTCCAGGGCTTCAACCCTTAATTTTTACTGTTCTGGTTGGCATCCCAGATCATCAAATTAAAAATATTGTGGTCTATTTCAGCTCCACTCTATCAACCATGACTGAATCTCTAGACCTTTTGAAGCCCCTCAGTGAATACACAGCTTTAAAAATGCTATTCCATGTGATTAAGGAATGAGCACATAGGCCAGAACCTTTTGTTTTGTTTTACCTTAGAAGGTTCTATGCACATGAGTGATGTTTTTCCATCTGAGGGTGTGTAACTACTTTGACTCAAGAAAAAAATTTTGTGCTTCTGCCTTGAGTATCAGAACTCTTGAATCAGCTGCTTCCATTCTGTGAAATCTGTACATATAAGGGACAGTAATAATTTAGACCCACAGTGAGTCTCTATGATGTCTTTATAGGAATTGGGAAAGTTAGCCGGGTTGAGGGGTGCGGGGAGGAAGGGAGTGGGGTCTCCTCCTTTCAAATATCATACTGCCATCTGCTGGTAAAGTGTAGTAATAATTATAAAAACCTACAACTACTATAAATAGTGCTTCCTGGTATACAATCTGCACAGTCAGTCATACACTGTTACAGTTTCTTTGAAGAGTGTTATGAAGCTCAAACTATGTATAACTTATAAAACATTGTGGTGGTGGTGGTTTGCCACTGAGTCCGTTCCGACTCATAGAGACCTTGTATAGACTTCCCAAGGCTGTGAATCTTTATGGAAGCACAAAGACTCATCTGGTAGATTTGAACCTTGCAGTTAGCAGCCCAGTTTGTAATCCACTATGCCACTACATTTTAAAACATTATAAGGTATTATTATTGTACTGGAACCTATAATTGATTTTCACCACTTCTCCTTTCAGTTATTAATTAACCATAGAAATTGTAGGCAAAGGCAAATGATAAGACTATCTCTAAACTGAAATACTAGTTGTCACTGAGTTGCTCTTGATTGATGGCAGCCCCATGTGTATCAGAGTAGAACTGTATTCCATAGGTTTTCAGTGGCAGATTTTTTGGAAAGAGATCACAGGCCTTACCTCCTCAGTATTTTTGAGTGGGTTTGTTTCATTTAGTAGCCAAGGGCAAACCATCTCTGCCACCCAGGAACCATCTTAAATGATACGGTGCTTTTTTCCCCCAGAGTAAATTGGAGCAAATATTTTTCTGAAATGTATTTCTTTGTAGATTATGAAATTAATTAGAGTAATATTTTAAACTTAGCCAACCATGCTAATTTTTAGTTAACACAGAAGCATGTGCTCAAGTAAAAGAGAGAAAGAAATACAGTAAGAGAACATATTTTATTTGTCTAAGACTCCCTTAAACTTGGCAATAGACCTTTGATAGAGCAGCTCAATTAGTGTCGTCCTTTATTGGCTAGGAGAAATTTCTCAGGGCATTATTGGATTAATTATTTTGGCATTTGGTACCCTTAAAACTTCATTATTTCAAATAGATTATAATTTACATTTTTCAGTGACAGTCACTGTTTTTAATAGAATGAAAACTAACTAAATTACTTAATCTATTTAAATGAATCCTCTATGTGCTAAAATTTCTCCTGTTTAACTTCACATCTACATAGAGTCATGCTAAGAAGGATGAAACTCTTGGTGTTGTTTTTTTTTAAAGTATCTAACTGAACGTATCATTTCACATGTCGTGTGAAAAAAAGATGAATGTTTTTATAAAACAAATAAATATATTTTGCTGTGTCTTCATGGATGTGGAAAAAACAAAGGTTCGTATTGTATTTGGGTCCACTACACTAAAGGCAATTTTAATTTTTACTATGTCCCATTAGCATTCAAAGCACTTTATATATGTTTGCTTTAATGGTGTGGCGCTGGACCACAAGCTCTGTTTGAACCATAAGGTCGGTGGTTTGAACCCACCAGCCGCTCCTCGGAAACTCTATGAGTCACTATGAGTCATAGGGTCACTAGGAGTCGGAACAGACCCAACAGCACACTTAACAACAGCAACAACATGTCAACTATATGAGGTAATAGCATTATTTTCCCCATTTTACAGGAAAGGAAAGCGAGGCCCAAAAATACTGCATTATTTGCTCAAAGTAGAAAATCTACCAAAATGAAATTTATATACAGAGATAATTTAAACATTATCTTGCTTAACAGAGACTCGCCCAATATTTATGAGATTAAATTAATTAAGATACGATTCGTCAATTCCTATTTTTAAAGCTTAAGTGCTATCAAGTCAGTTTCAACCGTGTATAGGGTTCCCAAGGAACACTAGTGGGTTTGAACTATTGACCTTGAGGTTCAAACTGACTATGTTGTCCAGTGTTTATCCTACAGCACCATGCCAGTTCTTAAAGGATTCCTTTTAAAACTTAGGTAACAAATAATTTCCAAATACAACGTTGACAATTTAAATGGTAAAACATTAACAATCTTTGTAAATAAAACAACAATAACCTATTGCTGTTGAGTCTATACTGAGTAGAACTACTGCATGGATTGTTTCTTGGGCTGTAATCTTCATGCTTCTGGGTGGATTCAAGCCACCAACTTTAGGTTGT